CTGATGCTGCTTCTTTTCCCGAGGATGAGCTGACTAGATTAATCTAGATTCTAGATCTATCACGCAGAGGTGTTTCGGATTCCTATGTCGCCTGTGGTAGAAACCGCCTTTACACCTGCCTTCTCTCAGGTTTGATGCAAGCTATTGCTTCATGAGTGGACATTGTCAGAACTTACAGGTGACCAGCAACAGCACTCTTTTGGAGGCTGAAGCCATTTGTGATGAACGTTACGGTGGCCCCGATGGCTGGCGCAGTGTGGGCTTGGGGCAGTTCCCACAACTGCCACCCTGGAAGTATCTTTGGGATTCTGCTGACCAGAAGGATGTTGACATTTTTGTCATTCTGAGCTGTGCCATGGGGAATTATCATTGTGACGTTAACTATTGTCATGAGACCTACTGTGCGATGGAGTCATACAAGAAGAAGTATCAGCATTTGGCTCCCACGTTGCAGGGTGGATTCCAGTAGTTCATGCACATCACCTGCCAAACAGGTGCTTCAGACATACCATCAGTATACCTGTTACCAAATGTCCATTACCTGAAAGCGGTTGCGTACACACCATAAGTTGGCAACGAAGATGCTTCAGCTTTTGCGGTAAGTTCAGCTGGGGCAACTTCGAGTCCAAAGATTTTGGGCCGCTGCACAAGGCAGAGGCAGTCGTGACGGAGAGAGCAGAGTTGATGAAAAGGTATGGAAGAGTCCAGGATTGGCTTTTTGTCACACCATGTTGGCCACTGCCTTTAGCGGTTTTTTGGCCCCCATTTGTGTTGTGACAGCTTTTGATTCACATGCCAATATTTGTCGTGGCTCGTGGTCAGCCAATTCGCAAGGTGATGTTCGTGGTGCTTGTTCAACTGGGCACCTGATTCTTTTCTTCATGACTCCCAGGGGGTCCAGACGACAAATATCAAGGAAGCGGGCACAATCGGGAATTAGATACCAGATCAGCTACAGTACTGTGTATATTTTACACACACACACATATATATATATACACATATATCAGTCAAAAAATCAACAAATGCAACGAAACGAACGGCATGTTGTATGTATATATATATATGTGACTCCAGCAGCCCCGGCCTCCAAATGGATGAAGGAGTGAGTTTGGATCGGCAAATGACGGACCAGGCGGCTGCCTCAGTCCAGCGAATGACGCTTGGCTTGCGAAGCTTGCGAGACCAGTGCGCCAGTCCGACGAGGAGGGAGTGGGGCGTCCGAATGGAACCAGTCGTTATCCGTCAGACGGCCATCCCCGTAAGATCCAATTTCCAATAGCAATGGCCTCCAACCTGCTAGCGATGGCCTCCAACCTAAGAGCGATGGTAGAAGCGATGGCCTCCAACCTTACAGCTTAATTTATATGGTGTCAGCTGTATTCAACGTTTCGATTTCGATAAGTTTTTTTTTAATTGTTGGTTGTATTTATTTTACTGGACATCGTGGAAAGATATGGCCACTCGCACCGTGGAAGTGATTTGTGGAAGACCTTCATCAGACACAATGCCATGTGACAGGTATGACAAGGAAGTGCAAATCGGTCAAGCCTTGCAACATGCATGGGAGCAGAAAGGCCTGCTGGGTTGGATGGGACCAGTGTTGGTGGCTGGGAAGCTGGACATGGAGCTAGGGACCTAAACACCTGATGTTTTCCGTGTCCGAGTTGTTTCAAGCACGTCAATATTGTTTTTCATTGTTTCTTTAAAACAATGTGTGTGCTTGCATCGCTTAGTCTCAGGAGGGCGAAAGCTATACATAGACCTTTCGCTGTAAATTCAAAGGCTCCTCGGTGAGACGACTCAATTGTTACCGTGTTGTGGCTGTGGAGGGCATACAGTTGTTCCAGAAGGTGTGCTGTTGACAAAATGGGGAAATGCGACAAGAGCGAGGTCCATACCTGCCCTCGAACATGACAAGCGGACCTACAGACCCACTTTGTTCAATATGGTCCCATCCACCATGCGATCGTTGGAGGTCCCCGTTGGCCCCGCTCCCTTTGCCCAGGGCCTCGCTGGCCCCGCTTGCTTTGTTTTTTTGAGGACTTAAGAGAGGAATTGGTCATCCTTGGTCTTTTTGCAGCGGGGTGGAATCCAAGACATCATGCAACTTGTCGCTGCGTGGCGCTGAGCGCCTGAGCGCCACAATCAGAACCTTTGAAGAGAGGTCCCCCTTTGATCACAGGGCCTTATGATGACCACCTTTGGTAATAGTGGACCGACCCCCCCAAACCACACGGTATTAGGGATGGTAGGATTTTCTGGAAAGGAGACTGGTATTGGAATTGAGTCTAGTTGATTGCTCACAGCTTTATGATGCTCCATGTAGAGGAAATAAAGATATAGTTTAGTTCTCGCATGTGGATCGTATTCTTGACGGTGGATGACGTGCTTGACCGCTCTGGTTTGAAGGCCTCGGGCTTCGCCAGCTTCGCCCAGCGGTTCCCGGCCCTGCACCGTGGTGGAGACGCAGTCAGGTGCGGAGCTCGTGGACGATCAGTGAAAGAATCCCATTGGCCCATTCCGAGCCGCTGACGAGTGCTGGTAGCGTAGGCGGAATTCGGTTTGACTGCCTTTGTCAGGACTCTTGGTTTGGGTGGACCTGAAAGATCCTGAAAGCACAAATTGAGCCACTTAGGATTAGAGCCCGCCAAGTATACCTTAAGCCAGTAGGTCCCTCACCCGAGCTGGGCCTCCTGAGCTCGAGGGAGGGAGGCCGTAACTTGCTTCGGGTGACTGGGCCCCAAAGCGGTTGGAAAAGCCACCTGGATGGTTTGGATCCAGGTGTTCAAGCACCATTCCCGAAAGCAACAGCTTGATCCCATGGATGAGCAACAAACTCATGGAAAGAGCTCCTGAACGACTTGCTTCCCTCAAAAGCTCTTGGGTGCCAAGCCACATGATGCTACATGCAGCGGTACACGGCTGTACGTCAAGGGCGTGCATATATATAATATATATATTTGTTTATTTATGCTCACACATATACACAAATAAACAATATAGCCAGGATAATCACAAGTAGCTGGATGTTCTTGTGAGGCTTTTATACATGAAAGGCTGTAATCAACTCAATGAACCTGACCAAGACTCTTCGAAGCACAGGAGGCAGAACCACTCACTCAAGGCAGGAGAATGGGACTGGGATTGCTCACTGGCTTTCGTTCTAAGAGACTGACTACAATGGAATGAATGTATTGGATTTGGATTTAACGCCACGTTTGTTCAAGCCATCGTTGGTTTCTCAGCTTGTCCTGAAGTCCAGGGTAGGCAGTAAGAAAAGCGTCGCCTGTATGGAGATCTATGATTTGTATGACTGTTACTAGTGCATTCATATATTCGTGAAGAGTGGGCAGTGGGCCTTCTTGAAAGGCCAGAGTCCATGTCTATGTGGCCATAGGCCTCTTTGAAGTCAGTGTGTGGGGTGACCATCAAACCAACGTGACAGATGCATATGCTACAAGACATTTGCCGCTAGAGCACGATTATATATCCTCAGCAACCTTGCCCGAAAACAGTAGCCAAATGTGAGATTGTGACCAACGAGGCACAGTGCTCTGACCTGGCCGACTTTTGTTGAGTTCCCTCACAGGTTCATTCTTTTGTTCCCTGCAGGAACCCACTTGAGAAGGCTAAGGTCCCTGGTCGGTAGCAAATTCACATCTTCAGACCCGGCAGGCGAACAGAGGTGGCGGACTCAGCGTGGTGGACTGCCAGAGACCATCGTGTTGTTGCCCCGTGACCGAGGAATCCATGCAACACCTATTGCAGTCGCTGTTTTACAGGCACCCAAGTAGAACACATTTTGAGCATAGCATAGTGATCCCCAAACCGGATCAAGCCAGTAGAAGAACCAGGAAACAACATACTGTATTTATTACAGACAAAACATGTGTATACACCTAGAGCCGCTTTGTTCCTTTTTTTTGGTGGCAGGCCATGTCTTTTGCTCTCGTTCAAGTGAACATCGAAACGAACCATGTTGGATTTCTTTCTTCAGCAATCACACATGGGAGACCTTTGCGGACAATTCTATTCACTGGAGTCTTCGCCAATCGGCCGCCTCGACTCCAGGGGTTGTGAAGGACACTCAGTGGTGAGCGGCCCTTTTCCCAGATATGATATAAGGCAATTGCATCCAATCTTTCACATTCCATACGGTTTTAAACAAGCCAGTAAAAAGCCAAGGGTGTGGTGTGGAAATTTTGAATCCTCATTCCATGTGAGTGTTGGTGCGGCTTAGAGTAGGGAACCTTTGAGAATCTGATCTCCCAACACTGTTTTGATCGTGATTGATTAACCTCGCTGGTTTGCATAACTGCATAGCGCCAAAATTCCATGCAATCATGCGCAGCACATAGATCGACAGGATGATACAAACACATATAGAATCAAGACACCCACAAGAACAGCCTGGATTCTTAGGTGGGGCGTGCTCCAAGACTCAGCGAACTGAGGCCCCGATCCAAACACAAAGCCAAGGTACGTCCGAGCAGGATTGTTTTTTCGATCAGTGCGTCAATACATTGTTGCCGCATGAAGAGGGGCAGACCCAGAGTGTGTTTGAAGAGGGACGGGCCGTTACTTCAACGAGGCAGTGGTTCAAAAGCAGTCAATGAGTCGCTACTTGTGTCAGTCCCAGGGAGTGTTGGACGATGGCTATTCCCTTTGGGAAGTCAATGTCCTATGCCTTGTCAGATGAACCCTTCCCGCGGCCAAACCAAAAGAAGATCCTCAGGTGGGCAGCTTCATTAAGGTGATCAAGAGATAGATGGATGCATTGATGGATAGATTCAGATATATGGATGGTTTGATGGATATGTAGATAGAATGCGATAGTGATAGTTGCTCCCACATCAAACTTCCACGACTTCGACTTCCAAGTCCAGCTCCAGGCTCCCCAGCCTTTCTTTTCGATCTTGAATGTTGCAAAAACACCCTGGGTCAGGCTGAAAAGCTGGTGTTTTGCTTTTGGCAGTCCAGAAATGTTCAGAAATGCGCTGTAATCATTATAGAGGGATTGACCCTCCCCGCATCTCCCCGCTCCCCTACCTGGTCATGGTACCCTCTCGGGTAGTTGGAGGTTGGGGTTCAGTTTGTGTGGCGAACGACGCCTCAGCCTTTGGCTCGGACCATGAAGCGACCATGGTCAAGATTTGCCCGGGAAGGCGCCACAGACCTGGCCGGTAACGCAGCCCAGGCCCATCAATGAAGCTTGGTAAGCTTGGCTTTGGGGGAAAAGTGGTCGTGTTGCCTTGGCTGCCTTGGTTTGGCGCTTCATCTTATTCATTCATATTCATTCCCTGTCCCGGTCTTGACCAACTGAAGGAACATGTTCGATGAGAAAGCTGTGAAGATCTAGGAAGTATTTTCACCAGTCTTCTGTAAACTTGAGGAGTTGGGCTGGCTGTTTTTTTGGAGCTCTTTTGCTCAGGATGTGTTCTTTCTTTGGCCCTGGGGACTCTGCACACCCTTCTTCTCCTTGGCAGCCTATGCCATCCTCAGCGCACTGCTGCTACTGCTGAGTGGGCTTGGTGCACTTGCAGCGCTGTGCTGCGCTGCGCCAGTGTCCTTGGGATGGTGCTGCCTATGGAGCTGGCGCTACAGCCACTCTTGGCACACAGATCCTTGCTGGGTGAACGGTCAATACGACCAATATGTTGCGGTACCAGAAATACCCGCCGCATGCTAGTCTACCTTACATCCTTCTTGTGGAGGTACCAGGTGATGTAAGACAGACATATTGTTGTAAGTTGTAAGCCACTTTGTGTGGAGAATAGCTTCATAGTTGTTTTTTTGGTATGGTTTTGCTGTCCCTCAGTCCCTCATTTAGTTGGTGGGGCCACAATGACATCCAGGTTCAACTTAGACATGCTCTTAATCCTGCGGTGCTGTGGTGTGGGAGGGCAGTTTGCAGATGTCATTCTTTTCGTTGGAGTGATCCTCCTGTCTCGCCAGGATGTCTATCAGAAGCTCATTTACCTCGCTTTCTACGTGCAGCACTCAGGCCTACGCACACCCAAGGCGGATGCCAGATTTATGCCAGTGGACAAGCTGAGCAGTCGAAAGGTGCTGAAGAAGCAGTCACCCGGCAGAGCAGCTGCGCTTGCTGTGCTTTGCTGTGCTTGTTGGGGCGTTGGCTTCCTGGTCACCGGTGATAGGGCATCCGCCATCAGCCAGTCACACATGCGTGTCTTTGCGATGTCAAGAAGAAACATCCAGAGGCATTCCCAAGGATATGTCTTAGTTGAATTCTGGACCCGTTGAGGTCATACTCGGAGTGACGGTGATGTACAGCAAAGGGATTGTGCATGAGTGTGAACAAACCTCCTATATACGATGCTTTGAGCATGTTTAGGACTCTTTATTTCACATTATGTTAAACTGTTGTTTTCAGAATTGTTTAGCAGACCTCCAAGGTTTCATGAAGCCACCATGAATTGCTGGTGCCGGCTTAAAAAATATAAAATGGCTCTGAAACCTAGGCAAATCACATATTTATATATCTTCCTGTGCCAAATTTCTATGTGCAATGTCAATGTGCTTTGACTCGTCTTTGTTCAATATCAATAACTGCCTGGTAATTTGTATTCATTTCTTCTCAATATCGGTCAAAGCTGTTTGGCTCTGAATCTTGAAAGGATTGATATCAGATATGCAGACTTCAGCTGCAACACTCTCCCCTCAGCAAATTCACTTTGATCCAAAAGGACCTTTCTATTTTTCCAATAGATTTTACATGGTATGATTGTTTTCTTTTTTTCCATTATTCCATGTAAGATGTATTTTCTTTGATGTTTTTGTTCATAGGCCAAAGCAATCCAAATAACACACATTTGGCATTTTGGCATCTTGTCCAAACCAAGACAAACAAGAACCATCACAAGGCAACCAAAAAGGAAACGCACGTACATCATGTTTTGCAATGACATAGAAATCAATCAACCTCCTTGTGCTTAGTCTAGCTCCTTACCTTCTTAGAAAGAGCTAAGCCAAACAAAACAATTTGACCAAGAAGAAGGCCTTGTGAAGATTGAAGCAGCCTATTGATGCTGTTGCAACTTCGTCTAGCTCATTAGCTTCTTTAGTAATGCGTTCCTTTATTTGAATCTTAATGCTCTTGAGAAGGCCATGCTAGAAAACAAAAACACAGTCCGTGTGAAGGTTGGTGCTCAACTATATACAAATTGTGCATATAGAAAAAGTTAAGCCAAAACTTAGGTTTTTGTGAGGCTTCAGTCAAAAAACAACGTAAAACACTGTGTTTGTTCATGTCTTGCATTCACAACAAAGCATTGAAGCAAAACATGGCTCCAACACCTGGGTGTTGGTGATGTTTTAGCCTTTTTTGCGAGAACGACATCTCTCAGGAGCGCCCGTCCTGTAGATATTTTGATATATATATATACAGTATATATATATAGTACAAAAGTGACCCCTCTATGATTCAAAAAAAGACATCAGTTGACGCGAAGGTACATGGACTATGGTCTGAACATCCAGGTGCCCAAGGGTGCCGAGGATCAATTCCTTGAGCCACTGGGGCCGAAGAAACTTGGGGCTCGAAAGGCAAAGCATCTGCGGGCCGGGCAATATGGATAATGATGGATAACGAGAGAGGATATATATATATATATACACATATGAAGAACAGGCAGGTCTGGGGTGCAGTGTTCATAAACCGCCTATTCTAAAACGGGTTTGTGTTATGGTTCCGTGCACTTTTGACGCACGAGTGTGCCTGTGTGACGGAGGAAGCATTGAATACTGTACAGTTGGTCCTTACCCGACTGGTAATTCCATTGTTTCGCTCGCAATTCATGGGCTGAAATTCCACATGTTTTGACCCATGTTGATGATAACCTGGGCATGCAAAAGTCATGCAATCCTCACACTCAGTTTCACAAGAGGTGACTTTGTGTTTTGGATGTTGTAGAACTATATTACTTGATCCAGCTCAAAAGAATCGCAGAAGCTTGTGTAGCTGGGCCCAGGGAATATCACTCACCTACACTCTTGGAGAACTTCATCGAAGATCGCTTACACTGGCTGCCACGCAGTGAACGCTTCGAAACCTTTGCTCCCGACGAGCAGCTCGGCTCAGTTGAGGCTCATCCAGCCAAGGAAGGACAGCGGAAGGAGGTGATGAAATGGATGCCCACCACACCCAGTAGACCTTTTTTCATGCGTTGGTTGGTACGGTATGACTGGTTATTTGAGATGCTTCATGACGTTTATATGATGTTTCACCAGGTAATGAGAATGTGATCAACTGATCAACGGCTCATAATTCGGAACACTATAGCAAAACCATGCAAAACCAAAGGGTTCTCCCAGGTGCTTTCCATCGTGATCAATGAGACTCCTGAAGCGGATAGGGCAAACGAATTCGTTGGCAGAGATCACGCTGCCCGGTAACTCAAAACAGATCCAACTTCGAACAAGAAATCAGGCCCGTTCGATCGCTGCCGTCGGTGAGAGGAATCCGGTGGACTTTGTGATGAAGCAGCTGGGCGCCGTGTATCCAGCTGTCTATCAGGAATGGAAGCTTGGCACAGGATGCGATGAAATGAATTCTAGGATCTGCAGCCACCCAGCAAGGAATTGATCCGTACACAGACCTATTTTGATTAATGAAAGGCCCCAAAGTGTGTAAAGCCTAAATGATTACGCCACATGGAAGTGCAGTGGCTATCGGCTATATGACTCATTCTTACCATCACATGGTGCTTATCATCATCCAATCATGTTGAAGACCGCATAACTAAAGGTTTCTGTAGCGGGTGCGATGAGCCCCGCTTTAAACACGTTGATTTTGCCAGTCTTGTGGAAAAAACAGCTTCCAGGACGGACAAGCACAGCGACGAAGCCCTCACCCGCTTTTGCTTGCATGGCTTGGGTGCCCACCGAGTGGAGCTGGAGATCAGGAATGGCTTGAAGTGTTCCGAATGAATTGATTGTATTATGGTGCAGTTGGACATCAAACGGGTTCTCGTGTATCAACTTGGAAGGACGTCACAGATTTGCTATTTTTGTGCGTGGATAGAGATGGGCCTGGGAAAAAGTCCAGCCAACAGGATCTTCATGTTCCTACGGACCATGAACTTCAACGCAAGGATTTTGCGCCCACAATGATGTGGAACGATGGTCAGCTGGTGATGGAAGCAGAGAACCAAAAACACAGGAGGGCTGCCCCACATTGGTCGTGGCAGAAAAGCGTCGGAACGCTTTTCTATCTATTCGGGCCCACCGCCCACCGTCGGCTTTTTCTTTCCAGTCCAGTTCTTCAAACTGCCAGATAAACGCCCGCCCTTCGTCAGGTACTTCGTGGTGAGGACGAATTGCCTCTCAGTGCTACCAACCCGCCGGGGCTTTGAGCGATATGGTGGTGATGCTTACTTCTTTGAGGACTGGCGGCCCGCCATGATTGTGGACAGGGGTCAAGGTCCACTGGTGGAAGACCTACATCAGAAGGAGGCGCGAGGCTTTTCTTGTGCACCTGGAGTTGCAAGCGGATATTGCATAATTGTTTTTATATATGCAGGTAAGGTGGTGCCCCAGATTCTGATGCCACCAACACTTGCACAATTCGTATTTTGCATTTGTCCCGGCGGCATTTATAATCACGGGAGCTAGTGTAGCTGCGTAGCTAGCTGGAGTTACTCTTGCGATGGCACGTCTTGATGTACGGTGAGGGATGGTGGCCTCAGGAAGAACTCCTAGAACATTTCCATCCGCAGAATGCTGATGGACTGTCGGGGGGGGTGAAGTCTTTTTGAAGGCAGACCTGTTGTCACTTGGAATGTTTAAAAGGATGTCAACACGAACCACCAATACTTGGAGATAGGTTCTCCTAAATGGCATTTTCTTCACTTGTGGGGATCCAAATGTAAAACCTACCTCGGGCGCCATGCGGCACAGGAAATCATGCAAATAAACAACCCAGAGACATTTGGGGTGATTCTTCAATCCTGTCAGTTTGGAGGTCATCGTGAGACCTGGGGAGAAGGACTGGGAGAGAACAAAGTTTCGCTTCCGTTCTTCGCTCTTCTCTTTGGTGACTTTGGTGGATCACTTGTACCTCGACATGGGAAAATCGAGGTGCCAGGTGTCTCTTTGCTGCGACCGGCTTGCGACCCGTTCGGTGTTTGCGGCCGTGATGAAGGCCGAGAGATACTCCTCACGGTCGTGAGGAGTTGGAGAAGGGTGTGGATTTGGGGCACATGTCTTAAAGGGAAGTCGTAACATCTAGCAAGCTGGCGCATCAATCACACGGTTCTACCTTGTCTAGGTTGAGCTATCCGGCAATTCTGGTGCGTGATATTCATGAGGTACTTCATCCATTTGCAGCTGGCCAACTTCTTTGTGACTTCTCTTCGGGAGCAGATGTCCTCTAGCCATCCCATCCGGCGCTTTTTAACACCTTTCACCTACCAAACCATCTCGATCAACGACAATGCCAAGCATAACCTGGTCGCGAAGCGCGGCATGGCTTCCAGATGCTTCGCATTCACGGAGACTTTGTCCTTCTGAACAAGTCGTTGAGTTGCCCACGTCCACTGGACTCACCTGCCAACATTCACATACCTGATTCCATGCAGATGGGATGTTGCCAGTGAGATTCTCCAATGGAACATTTAAGCCTTGATCTCCCACATACGCTGTTTCAGGTAGTTGTCCTGAAATTGCCTCGAGCACAAGGGAAGCCTTGCTGCCTAATGTAGGCTGGCGAAGGGTTTTTTCGAAGGAAAAAGATTGGGGGAACAAGAGCAACTGTATTGGTAGACATGACATACCGTGCAAATTGCTATTAGTTACTCTGACATTTAATAGGAGCTCCCCTCTCTTGATTGGGACACGGGCCTCTTGGACAACTCTCCCTTAGACCTCTAAGGACACGGGCTTTGCTCTGGCCTTTGCAGCGGCTCCGTCTTTGCAGGTCTGGGGCTATGAGGTGGCTGCTGAGCAGGGACTCTCAGCTGGAAAGCGAACGCGGACGACCGCGGATGCCGTTCTCGAATCGGCGAATCTTTGGGCTCTTGTGGAGTCGGCATCATTTTTTTTGTTTTGGTATGATATCGGGGGGGGTCCAACTTACTCGTTGAAGCCAAGGAGGTCCTTTCTTGAATCTGAAAGATTACTTTGCCCACAAGAAAAAGATGGGCGTGGACACTGAGTATTTCAGACAGGCGGAGGAGCTCTACTGGATCTTTGTTCGCTTTTTGCAGGGCTACCTGGACTGCTATTATGCCACGAAAGAAGACCTGGTCAGAGATGAAGAGCTTCTCGGCGGTAAGTGAGGTTTGGAAGCCAGCAAGTGTCAGGGCCCACGGCTTCCGCCATTCCCAAGAAGGACAAGGGTAGGCTTGATGGTAGGGACAAAAAGGGGCTTGATATTTGTTCGATTGGTGTTGTTTGCCCATGAATCTAGTGATGATGTGCTGAAGACATGAGAAAACCTGCAAGAATGCATGGCCATGCCAACTGGGGGGACTTAGTTTTCAGGATGCACACATGATACATAGAGAGTCCTGCGAAAAGTTAGTTCATTCACAAGGCTGACCAGGTCTAGGTAGTTTTACTGAGCTTTGGAAGTCGTCTCAATGATGTTTTTCCAGAATGGACCTGCAGACTGCCGAAATTTGCGAAAGACTTGGAAGAAGGAATGTATACCATAACCCAGTGGTTTGGGGTGTTCCTGTTTAATCACTACACAGCCATTTGATCCCATTTGGGTTGAAACTTCAAGAATTCCCCTTTCGACTTCAGAACTGTCCAGCTTTGCAAAACTGAATGGATCATTCTGGATGATGATTGGCCCTGACGTGTGAGCTTGTTTCAGAACAATTGATGTATTTAATTGTTCTTTCCGACTCCCGAACACCTTCCTTGGAATCGATTGAGCGTTGTATTTTTGTGATTGACATGCAGACTTGAGGCTGGTCTCCATGGCCCAGCACTACTTCATCCGCTGCTCGCTGCCATACAAGCTGACTCTGCTGTTTTTTTGTTCTGGACGCAGCGAAACTTCCAAGGTGTAGGATATATCATCAGGGCCGGGAAATCCTCAAAAAGCTGCTCCGCCAAAAGCCCACCATCCGAGCCCACTGACTCAACCGGTTTCCATCCCCGATGGCCATTGGCCACCTCTTCGAGGCTATGAAAGTGCCTCCGCTTCTTGTGCCTTTGCACGCGCTGCTGGCGGCGCGCCCTGGATCCAATCCATTGATGAGGCGGCTGTGGTCGAAGTGGCCTATGAGTTCCTTGGCCAGAGTCGTAGTATTGTAGTATAGTATAGGCAGGTATAGGCTAGGCCATTGATGAATAGCGTTGATCACTGATGCAGGTAGCTTGGTGCGAATAATCTTTACATATATATATATATATATTCATATACAGATGTAGAGTGAGATAGCCATGGAAGACACCTTTGGCAAGAATATTATGGTATATATAATTTCATGACGACATATTCATAGTTAGTTTTGAGCCCTGTTACAGTAGATGTGGCCACAGCACCTCATGAAGGAGGGAGGTTTAATTTAAGAGGTCGATGTTTGATGATGTTCAGATTGTCCAACGCCTGAATGTGACTCTTTCCCCCAGTCGGGCTTTTAACAGGTTGCCTGTTTGCCTATTTGTGCTCGGTTTGTGTATTTGCCTTGGCGAACAACTATACATGATGCATCGGGTTTGCATTGGATCCCGAACGATGTAGGTTCTACCTTCATTGGCTCTCGAGTCTCCTTTGGATGGTCACCGCCGGACATGAGCAGCAGGGCGCTGTCGAAGTCTATGCACAGGAGTGCGAAGCCCTTGGTTTTTGTTCGCCACACATTGGGGTGGCCCATGTGGATGTTGGGGTTTCATGTTCTTTCCAATCTTTCAGGTGGATAGGGGGGTTAAGGTAGTGGATGGATCAGGGGTAAGGTCCTGATAGGTTGCCTTTGCACGCCTAGACCTCCAAACAAAGGGACTAAGTTGGGTTTCGCGACATCCATGATGTGCACGGCGAGGATGCTTCATGGACGTGCTTCAAGTGGCTTGAGGGGTCCATCTGTGGTACCAAGCAGACTGCGACACTTGACGTTGCAAAGAAATCACTGCTGATTTTGCCTGAAGTGGTTCCTTTGTCGGGCCAGGACTTTTGAGGTCCCGATTACGATGTCCAGCAAAGTGAAGTAATGTTTTGGGAGAATCAATTTCACAGTTCAATGAGTATGGGAGAGCACCTCACACACGAGCGTTGAAAGAGGCTCCAAAGAAAGGTGCCATTCGTGGCCCTGTTTGCACAACTGCCCGTCCTTAGCACCAAGGACTGCACAAGCCTTGCTCATGTCCTTCACCTCAACTCCTATGCCCAAGCTGCTGGGGGAGGATTGGTCCCACTTGTTTCCTGAAGCCTCAGTGATGGGGCACAGCCCTGCAAGCGTTTTTAAGACCTTCCAGGATGAGCTGAGTTTGATGGCTGCAAAGTGCGAGAAGTACAATACTGAAGCGGAAGCCAGATCTGAACATATGTACTTTTAGTTGTTGTTTCTCATCAATCCATGGGAGTGGATCAGATTCCAGGATATTCCAGGTGTCACCCATTCGGACGATCAAGAAGAAGCATCAAGAGTGGGTTCCTGTTTGCTGTCCCAATTCCTAGTTCGCATCGCAGTTCTCACAGTCGCGAATGGTGTGGCTGCGGATTTGAATTTCCCAATTGCATCAAAGCTAGCTGACTCGACTCAAGAACTCATTCACCCCCCCCTTGCATCATATCTTGGAACGTCCACGTGGTGCACGCGCTTGAGAGATTCCGGGTTGTTTGAGGAAGCAATTGTTCGACACCATTTGAAAGCTCAAGACAGGCTGGTTCGAGCGCCTTACTCTGTTTGGAACTAACGTGGAAGTGGAAAACCACCTGTTTGTAGTGGAAAATGGTCTTCCAAGGGGCCATTCTCCACTTGCATGTTAGTTCCAGGGAGTGTAACCCTTGCCCTTTGGGGAGTTGGAGACTCAACGTACCGAGTGCTCAACGTACCGGCACAGAGAGTGCCGAAGTCCACGTCCGAGGAGTCCAGGTCCTTTCCCGACGGCTTCCCCATCTACGCCAACCATCCGGGTCTCCTAGAGACTGCGGTCAGCGTGTGATCGAAAAGTTGGAACACTGCATGTCGGACTGGCGGATCCACTGTTGGGAGGAAGACACTGACATGACCAGGTTCACCACCCCTCAACGGTGTTTTTTGGTTCATGTGACTCATGTGATTGTTCACCAAATTCACCACCGAGTTCCTGTCATGTTCATGTGCTTTCTGTGTCCCACGTAGTCCAGGAAGAAATTTGATTCAACGGGTTTATACGTGCCCCATGGGTGGATTCTGAGACGTTGGGGGGGAGGTGACCCTTTGAGTCAGAAAAGGGAATGGGACAAGGATGGACAAGGACCCAGTTGCAAAGAAAACAGCCCTCCGTGCTATTATTGTCATCAACATGGAAGTGGAAAACCGCCTGTTTGTAGAGAAACTTGGTCATCTAGGGGCCCAGGGCTTGATTTTCCACTTCCACGATGATCTCCAGGAGTGTAGAATATCCCCTTGCACTGATACACCGCTCACTCCGCTCGCACCGCTCACTCCCCAGTCGTCGACCCATTGGATTCTTGCGTAGCTGGTTCGGTCGGGGGCTTTCTTTTGCAATCGGACCCAGCCGAGTGGTGAAGTCGCACCGTTATTTTTTGCAAAATGAGACCCTACCATTGGGGAACGGATGTTGGGGAAGTCGCATCGATTTTCACAGTCGCAGTTGCATGTACCGTGAGCCTTCCATTGGCTGAGCCAGGTGAAAAGGGGCACTGGAGCACGCTTTCCAGGCGAGAAGTGCCATAGTGAGCTACTGCTGTTCAACAGGATGGGCTGGAGACTGGCTTAGGGACGATGAGGACATTGGACACATTCTCAGTTTGGATTTGCTTCGAGGGCAGCTGGGCCTTCTTTTGCGGAACCGGGTGTTAGAAGGATGACATAGTTCAAAGACTATTGGCACACTTGTCGTATTCTTAGACGGCATGGTTTATCGGAGATCTCCGATCCGGCCCAAATAGCTTCCGAGGAGTACGGCTGGATTCTGCCTGGTCTTTGGGAGCGAAAGCTTGACATGATTGCTTGGATCCTTCATTTTTGATCAGATATATCACAGAATGTGTCACAGTCTCTAAACCTGGTGGGATATAAAAATCTATACATGGATAATTATAGTTTCGATATATGACCGGATTCATGCCAATGGTTTTCCCATACGTTTTCCGGACCAGAATTGCCAACTGGTCGGAGGAATCCTGGACCACAGGGCGGCCATGTCCGGTAGTAGCCAAGGAGGTCGTAAAAAGATGTCCAGGGCCGGCCTGTGTAAGTATAGGCTACAGTATATAGGTCTAGGCTCGGGCTCAGGCTGGGATGCTCGGGGCAATCTTTTTGGTGTGATGAATGGGTCCGTCGAATCCTGGCGCCGTCTTGGCTCAACAGCTCCGGTCGGGTCGCACCGGGCACCGGACATCGGACAGGTCCGTGGTCCGGGGGGGTTCAAAGTTTCTGGGAAGAAGCAAGCGGCTTTTGTGGCTAGCGGCCAGAGGGGCTGGCAGAGCGCCACAAATTGAGTCATTTTGCAATCTTTTATCAACAAATGATAGATATATATAGATGAATTCTTGGTTCCAGAATTTTTGCAGAGCGTTCTTGTATGTTGTTGTTGTTGTCGTCGTCATGGTCGTCATCATTGTCTTTGTTGTGGTGGTGGTGGTGGTTCAAAGGAAAACGTTTGTGTCGCGGACAAGTGTTAGCTTTATTGTTTTGCACCATGGATTGAAACCCTTTAAGCCTGTCACGAGGAGGTACTCGGTGATCCTAGCCCCATCATTATCATTGAAGAGACAACCACAATCCCTTAGGGTGCAGGCGTTGCGCACTTTGGTAAGTTTTGTGCGCGTGCGTGGCCTCTCTCGAGCAAAATGGTTCCAGATTCCAGGAGGGTCCCTCTATATATCATCCTGATCTATTGGGGCACAAGCAGGGTGTGTCGTACGTGCAGCTTTGTTCAGCCCTGACTCCGAAACTTTGGATGTCCTTCTGATATTCTCCCAGCCTTCCCAGTGTTGCCAACCCATCGCAGGAACTGTGTGGATGGCTTGATGGGCAACACCCATGCGTCCCTTTCCTGAAATCCCGTGCTTCTAAACAACATTATGCAGCCATGCAGTTGGACGGGAGGGTAAAGAAAGGGTCATCGGAGGATGCTTGCATAAGATGATGCAGGAGATAAGTACATATTACACACACACACACACACATATATATATATATATTAACCTATATATAGAAGAAGATCCTTTCAGCAAAACATAGTGCCTCTTTCGGGAAAAACGGCTCTTCCCGCCCTGGGGAGGGGAAATCAATTGTTTGCATCGAACATGCTTTAGTTGCCAGTAATCTAGGGAGAGAAAGACTAAGAGCTTCTAGAGGCTCTGAACGGATTTTGCACCTGAAGGAAAACATGCAGCAAGAATGGCGACACGTCACAAGCTTCCACGATCTACCTCCACACGCAAATCTGGAAACCGTCATACCACTCCAAAGTTGAAAAACCTGGTACACACATTGCCCCGGAAAAAGGGCGGACATACCTGAGAAAAGGGAAAATGCATGAAATTTCTGGCAATAGGCGGAATTTAAAAGAAAACAGTGCTTTTGAAACCTTGTGTAAACTTCATGAATCAAAACGTGTCGATCTTGAGATGCGAAACTATGTTCTTGCAGAAAGTTATGCTGTATGCAATCATGGAAGAGACAAATCTGGTGGGTGTTAAGCAATGGTGATCGCTTTTGGAAAGCTATGTAGAATTTCCGCTTGCCGCAATAATTACCCGCTGGCCACCAATACTCCTACTTGGCGGGGATTTGCCCTAAATCCACGAATGCTCCTGGGCATTGGACTGAGGCAGGATTTTCTTGCCCCAGGTGCGTGTAGGTATTTACATGTATTTACCTAGAACCTGAGTGGCGGCAAACCATGTTCTTTTCCCATCGAAGCAGAGGTCCGGGTGTATGTCTCGCGCCCGACTGGCGGAGGGTCGATGCTGGTGAGTGGTGTCGGTCCGAAGAACCAGACGTCAAAACTGAACAGTTGGACAGTCGTGGTCGTCGCACCCCGTGGTCGTTGCAGGCACAGTCGTTGATCCCAAAAAGGGTTGACCTGTAGGCTCAGCAATGCTAAGCACAAAGATTCAGCCGGAATCGGTCGATTTCGGTGGGAGCTAAGTTAGCTAAGTGGCAAAAGCCTCACAATGAGACCTCGGAAGCAATTGACAGCACACAGAGATGGAAAATCTTTGGGACAGATTCCTTTTGAAGCTGATGAGCTCAGGGATGCAGTAGTTGCAACGCTGGAGCCACCCATCCATTTAGTCAAAAGAAGGGCAGAGACTGCAGGACTATGATATGAAGTGAACTCTAAGGACAATGTTGCAATTTGTTGGAGGGAAGTTTGGAACCTGGCATGCCTTTGATGGCATGAGCATCACCAGGAAGTGTCTCACCTGGTCGGAGGAATGCAGATAGCCAACCCCCATTGGGCCTGCATGCGGGATTGCGGAGTTTGTTCATTGTGTTCGGCTACAATTCGGATCAGGCTTCACGGTGTCGGCCGTGCCACTCTTTTTGTGGCTGAGGCCGGATCCCAAATCTGTGATGAAGGCCGGATCCTGAATCGCAAGTTACGGATGGGAACGTCAAGTGGAGAATCCGAACTGAGACCCTTGACTGCAGGGCTTAGCCTGCATGGTGACATGAACCTGCTGTGTATTTATATGGGGTGCACTGCACCCCCCCAGACTGAAGTCCTGTCATCCCACTCAGATGACTTTATGCCAAAGTCCAGGTGTTCACCCCATGCCCAGCCTGTTATATGTATCTTTTTGCCCTGGCAAGAATGGCGCCAACAGAATTTGCATCATGAAACGATCAAGGCTTTCTTAGGTTTGAAGGGTTGCAAATCAGGTGCTCGTGTGCCAGGCCCTCCCTGTGCTACAAAACAGTGGAGAAGATCAATGTGTGACACACAGCCGAACACACCTGGGACTACACTCCTGAAGCTATATAACCAACATGGACCCTGACAGTGGCACCCTCAAGGACTGTTTTCCTCTATATGCAAACCGGTGGTTTTCAGGGTCTATGTTAGTTTTCAGTGGGGTAGCAAATATCAGATTCGGGGACCTAATGCCCCGAGATTTGTTACGGACATCGTCAGGTTTATATACTCTCATCGTTTCTGGGTGCAGGAACTTTCTGAGTGGCTCCGCCAGCGACTTCTTGTTTGGGCGGCTTGTGGGGGCTAAAATCTCTTTGGGCTGTGTTTGGCCTTTGGAAATGCTTCCTAGCCGCTAGCCGGGTTTTCACATGCCTACCTTGGAGGTCTGTAGTGGGTAGACCATTTGTGGAATGCCATCAAGACTCCAGACCATGGGTATTGGTGGTTGGAACCATCCCCATTGCCACCGCTCCCAACATCCGATGGTCGAGAAGGCCGGCGCGACCTTCTCCAACGATTCGGAGGCGGAGCTGGGTGGAGCCTGGTGACAGATGACCTGACTTGACGCGGTGACATGTCGTTCGCGCAGTGGCCAAACTGTTTGGTTTGGATGTGATTGGATGCAGACTTCCTGAAGATTTCAATGATATTGGGTAGAGATTTGGCCGATTTTGATGTACTGTAGGTTTTGCCCAGCTATATAAGCCAGCAGGGCAGCCGGCCTATTTTACTGTTAGGCAGGTGGATGGGTTTTCTCGGTTCTGCCAAGTGGTGTCTCAGTTGCAGTTCGAGCCAATCCTAACCTCAAGTCTCTTTGTGTTGCACATGTTTCATGGCAATGCCAAAGGCTTTATTGTTTTTCTTGTTTTGGAAGCTGACCACAACGAGTGTAGATTCGATTATGTGCGCGTTGATTTTGCTTGGCATGCGTATGAGGTGCAGCCGTTGACGTCAAGAAGCTACATCGATGCTGGAACACCTGACGCTTGGTTTTGAGAAGCAATGATTGCATGGTCCGAGCCACATGGTCATTACTGCCCCTGCCCCTGCACTGGCTTGACACCTAGAGCTATG